TGTTTGTACGAACCCTTTGTACGAACAAAAGTAAGAGAAATTTAGGATAAGAATATGAACATGTTCTTGCATGAGGACCAATGAGTCTATCATTTGCATGATAAATTAAAATGAGGTAGATTAAAAAATGAAGTTGATCCCTGCCTTTTACCTGCTTGTTTGTTTTGTTCGTGACTCCCTTGTTTCTACTTTTAGCGTAGGMGGGAGGGAATGCTCATGTCAGGTAGTTACCTATAGCATGAGAGCCTTGTGAACATGGATTTAGCTACAGGAGAGACTTTGGATTTCCAAGGCCTTCTATCAGCTGAAACTCCTCAGTAGGGATGCACCGATATGAAAATTTCAGCCGATATCAATATCYGATATAATTATTGCTGTTATGGCYGATAACATATATTTACCRATRTTACACAGACACACAAATTATATTATACAAATACGCACAAACACGCTTGGGTCTTTTTTGATACCATAAATAAACAACCAGACCTCTGACATGKCTCCCTACTTCAGTTWTWMYTGGCTACGCAGCGTCAGTATCACTATCATGATCAAACAGATGCTGCTCAACAAATCATCTCCCCTCCCAAAACAGAAACACAAAGATAAAAAGTGGAAAATCAATATCGGATGTTAATATTGGGCCAGTTTWACATTTCAGATCGATACCAATRTTCTAAAAAATGACCAATCTCGGCCGATACCGATATCAATACCGATATATTGTGCATCCCTGCTCCTCAGAACATTGGGCTCATGGAAAACAGTATTTTTTGTTGTTGTTTTTACACAATGTAAATTTTGTAGGAAGAGACGCAATGAATAATTTCTGTGCTACCCATCAATCCATCCTACCTTGTGGCGATGCACATGTTACGTCACAGTTTACTTACTCAGCAGATTCCTTATCGATATGTGCTACCTGTAGTTTCATTTTGTCTGCTTTATTTAAATAAGCTGCTATGTTTCTCAAAYATATTAACAKAAATGGCTCTTTTGCTGTTTGCAATAGTGTTACCATACTGTAAACAAGGAATTAGTCCCATTGTTTAGCGTCACTACATCACTACAAATACTATTAATAACTACAAATAAGCACGTTGCAAATGATGATCGGTGAGTGGAAGCAGTATAACTGCTTGGTGTTAAGCTGCTATATTACTTATTGCTATATTACTTAATGTATTAAGTTTATGATAGATGGCTTGTGAACATATTTGTCAGTGACTTTATTTTAATGTCTGTAATATCGTTATTATACTGTGAACAACAAATGACTCCTTGTTTATGCTAAGCATAACTCCTAAGCTTCCACTTCAGTAACACCGTCACTCAAAGAACGCTATCCGATGATGATATTTTTGTAAATACAAGGGTAGCAGTTTTCGATGGGTGGCACCGACAGACCTAGCTATCGAGCTGTGCTATGGTAGGAAAATCTGCCGAGGTAGCACAGATTGACAGAACACTGGCTCAGATAGAGGAGGTGGGATATGATTCTACAGCTTCAGCATCTGATGTTAGGGCTGTGTATTGGCAAGAATTTGGCGATACAATACATATCATGACAGAGGGGTCACGATACGATATATCYCGATATATTGCGATACTATAAGCAAGGCGATATATTGCAATTTTTTTGTCCAAAAATTCTATTAAATAAAAATCTCTTAGAGTAGAAAAAAAAAGAAAAACCAAAATTCATTGTCTCAGAAAATTCTAATATTACATAGACATACTTTTGATACATTTAGCTGTGTTCTGCTTTGTATGTATTTTATTTTATTTGTTTCATATTTCTTATTTCRTCCATGTTTTCAATTATTAGACTAAATTTGACAATAAATAGTTTGAAAATATATATTTTTGCAGCTTTTAGTTTTTAATATTAATTTACAATATGGTCACCCAACACTTAATAATAGCCTCTACCTCAAGAGGTAGGGGAGCCAAATGGCTGGCTCACTGCTGCCAACTAGTGGTCAGAGGCTGAACWACAACATAAAAATGAACGGCTGGCAGGAAAGGTGGAAGTTTAAACCTTAAATAAAAAATCGATACAGGGCTTTAVAATATCGATACAGTATCGGGAACTGAAATATCGCAATATTTCAGTGTATCGATATTTTCTTACACCCCTATCTGATGTTGTGTGTTGTTTCCCCAATCTCCGGTCCAGGCCAGTCCATAACATTCTTTTAACGTACCTAAGTTTGGTAAACTTCTGAAAGCTTATCATTATATCAGTAGAAAATAGTTTCCAAATGGTATTATTATCGTTTATCTAAATAATTTCTGAGAATTTATCATCCAGCAAAATTTGCTATCGTGACAGGCCTAGACCCGCATCATGATGCCGCTACCATCATGCTTCACGGTGGGGGTCTTCATGGTTACCTTTTCGTCTTGTCATAGTTTAAGCTAAGTGCAGCCAAACAAAAGTATACTGTTGTTTAGATTTGCATCTCACGCAGGCTTTGCCATGTTCCGTTATCTCTGAAAACAAAAGCAGCGACGATGATGTGTTTTTCCACATCTTCATGCCGGCTCGTTTCAGCAGAGGATAGAGTTCAGAAGACAGCTTATCGCTCTCTGTCTGCACTCTCAGTCTGAGCAGAATCCTCGTGTGTATAAGAGAGGTCAGAAAGTTGAACAGCGTGGTGAGGCAGATCTCAGCTGACGCTCAAAAACCACAGCTGTTCGGCCTCCGCTTTTTTTTTTTTCATGGCAAGACTCCCCGAGATCTTTGTGGGATTCCCCTCGGATCTACAACTCTCCCTATAGTCTAGGAGGTCAAAGCTCTGGGTCAGGTACTAGAGCCGCTGGACTTACTGCCTGAGGACGTTGGATTCTAACAGTCATCAAGGCTTGAGTTAGTAGCAGTACCAGAGATAACGCATCTGCATAAAAAACTGTTATTTTAATATAAGGGGAAAATTTAAAGCCCATCTGTTGGAGCTTCACTTGAAGAATGGAGATGCTGAATAGTCCTGACAGGTTTGCTTCTTCCTGACCTCAACCTGACTTCTTCCAGCCTAATCAGGCTTTTCTTAGAAGGCTTTATCACTGACAACTAAATGTTTTTGAGGACTGGATCCTGTTACAAGTTCTTGTAAAACATCAAACAATAATCTTAATTTATTTTAAATATATATATGTGTATATATTTTTGGATTATCACCAGCTGCTGCTAAAAAGCACATGGCAGATGATGCTGTTTTTGCTTGTGTGTGGTTTGTCTTTCAGCGTGATTTATGAGCACCTCTCAGCCCGTGGTGGGCACGGTTTCGCTAATCAGCTAATAGCAGAACTAATTTTAGCACTATTTTTTTTAAAAAAGTTTAACAAATTAGTTTTTTCGTTAACTTTGAAAACCATCAGCGGACCAGTTCGCTTCCTCTGAATTAGGTTTTTGCCAACTTTAAGTTTGCTAACAGCTAACAAACAAACCCAACATCAACAGGTTTGTGTCAGTCCTACCAGTTTTCTGCTCGAAGGAGACAGCTAATAAATTTGAACACCACTACCAGACAAACTTATCCTCCTTGTAGACATAAAAAACAAATATATTTTTTGAACAATAGGAACGTCATGCCAAGATTTTCAGTGGCCTCCCACTGTACCACACCTTTAAAAACACTTTGAAGGCTCTTCTGTATCTGTGGCGTCTGTCTTTTAYGAATTGTAGCCATAAAGCCAATAACTGCTTTTAGAGGGTTTTATTGAAATTCCTCCAGTGGAGATTTTTTGCTAACAGACAAACAAGGTAGACACCAGCAAATGTTTTGTCAAAGAATTTACGCTAAGTGTGGCTAATCCATGTGTCGAGGAATGCTCATTATGGTATGAGCTATGGTC